GAGGGGGCGAGAGAGAGAGCTCAATTGTATTTGTATATCTGTTCGGTAAATGTATATATGTAACTAATATGTGTATATATCAATGAATACAATAGTATCAATGTTGTATCAAGTTCAAGTGTATTAACGAGTTCAATTGTTTCAAATTTCAATATAGTATTTCGTAACAAATTTCATTTGTATTCATGTGTATCATATGTTGCCATGTGTGTTTGTATTTTGTATCACTAAAAGAAAACATTTATCTATTGCCATATCAATATTGTATTTCGTAACAAATTACATTTGTATTCATGTGTATCATATGTTGCCATGTGTGTTTGTATTTTGTATCACTAAGAGAAATCGTTTATCTATTGTCATGTGTATTTGTATTTTGTATCAGTGAAAGAAAATATTTATCTATTGCCATGTGTATTTGTATTTGTAGTTGTTGCCTTGTGCATATTCGTATTTGTCGGTTGTCATGTTTATTTGTATTTTGTATCACTGTAAAGAATTTATATAGTTGACAGTTATTATCTGTATTTGCATCATTGATTGTTAACATTTATATTTGTTTTGTATTCTTGACTGTTATTATTTGTATTTATATTGAGAGAGAAAGTAGGATGGGAGGGAGGCGGGCGAGAACGTACAGAAAAAGGAGAGAGAAAATTGATATAAAATCATAATTATAGCTACGAATTATAATTCTTTCCAACTATAATGATTTATAGCCTTTGCTACATAATTTTTCCTTTGTTGATTGAATGAACTCCTAACCCCTTACCTTGAGGATGATTTAGACAAATGTTTTTTTATTGGGTTATTATTTAAATTTTGTTCCTATTTTTTAAACTTGTGAAAATATCAAGTTTTTGTACGTGTAGAATTTTTTGGGGTAGTTTTTAATTTTTGTCCCTACTTCTCATTTATGAAAGTTGGTGGATCAAAATATTTTAATTACAACCTAATTTCGCATGGTAAACTGTCAAAAGTTTTGTAGGATTAAGTTATGTTACTTTAAGGTATAACTTTGTAGGTGTATAACCTGTGCCTCGTGAATTTTTTATTTTATTTTATTTTTTTCGATGTCAAATGTTTTATTACTCAAAATGCTAAAAACAAAAATTAAAAATCACAAATTAGAGGGGAAAAAAAAATCACCCTAAAATAGGCATTCGTGCAAATGACCTTGCAAATATAACATTTGGACCGAAAAAGTCGTTTAACATCTATAAAGTTGTAGATTTTTTTTGGATCCGGCTCCTCTCCATTTCTCTCAAGTTCTTGCTTGGATGTGAGACACATGACATCCATAAAAATCAATGGCTAAGATTTAATAGATTAAAATAATATTCTAATTATTATTTAGATAATTAATATTTCATAAGAAAAATAATAATACCATAATCATAAGTCATAACAATATAATATTTTGTCCATAAATACATTATAAAAACTGTTCTCTTTTCTAATTTTTTTCCTACGAGTATTTATCTTCCGTTTGTTTTTAAAATAAAAATACAAATGAGTAAGTCTTAGAAAGCAACTTTGAACTTTCTCTTTGAAATTAGTTTACATATAATTAATAGAAAAAATACTCGCAGGGAAAAATAATTAGAAAAAGAGAAATTATTTTATAATATATTTATGGACAAAAACAGAAGATAATACTAATAAGAAAAAGAAATAATATATTTATGGACAAGATAATATATTGTTATGATTGTGGTCTTGATATTTTTCTTATAAAGTATTAATTATCTAAATCATAATTAAAATCTTATGTTTATTTAATTAAATCTTAACCATTAGTTTTTACCTATGCCATGTGTCTCACATCCAAGCAAGAACTTGGAGAAAATGGAGGGAAGGGAAATAAAGAGGAGCCGGATCTACTTTTATTTTAATATATTTTCTCATAAAATTTTAACTTTCAGCTAAACTATATTATAAAACGTTCATAAGTTACTAGAGAATTATTTAAATATAGTTGTTCAAAATAGGGAATAACTGTTGAAAATTTTTGGAGGCCTAACCTGAAAATTATAATATTTACCTTTGAGCAATCAGGTTCAGCCTTTATTTTTATTTTTCCTCTATGGTTATTACATAAAAATAATAAAAAGTTGATGGTAAATAAGAAAGACTTATTTTTTCATCGAAATTAAACACTTCATATTACTACACTTTATTCTAATGCTAACATTCATGATCCAAATTAAATTTTAATCACAAGTAAACAACAATATGTGAATAGGTTATAGATACAAATTCATTGATTTAATTATTTGTATTTAAAGTTTAAGATTATCTTTCACTACAATTTTAAAATTTCTTGGTATCCCGCCCAAAGCCCAGTAATCGTATTAGAGCCCAAATAACCCAAATTTGCACCAGAAGATCTGACATTGAAGGGCCTAACTAAATCTAAATTTGAATTGGGAAGTCCCTGATTGGAGGTAAAAAGCTCCCTTAACACAAACGACTCCATATCTTGAAAGACTTGAACCCAAAAAATCTAGTTAAAAATGAAGTATTTACCACTCCACCACAACCCTTCTCGATCAAATTACTCTGTTGCAAGGTTTTGTACCCTATTTAGACATGGTAAAAGAGGGGAGGCACACTTAGTTAGCACATGAAACTATCCAGCAGCATTTTTCATGTTCTAGCCTTGTTGACATAGATGATAAACAAAGTGTTTGATCTTTATAAAATGGTCAATATACCTAACTATAGAAGGAGCAAAATAACTACTTTGTACATCCAGAATTACCAACTAAAATGGAGCTCACAGCTTGTACTATCTTAATGAAGAGGATTATTACTTTCCTCCAAGCTGGATTTTACTTTATCTACATAATACTCTTGTTTCCTATAGACTGGGCTAAACCAGTCTCTCTAGTACACATTCAAGTCGAGGATCACCGTAATAAAACATGAATGCCAATGTCAAATCCATACATGGAGGCCGTTTCATCAACGTGTATCATCATTCTATCTTACTGTTGTCATCTGATGGCACCATATCCACAACAACTTCTTCCAAGCGATCTTCAAGGTTTTTCAATGACCTTTCTACCCAAGTATGAGTATTGTATTGTACATAACTGTCACAAGGATAACCCGGCTTGCACACATAAGCCACCAAGTAATCAGCCAAAATGCAAGGTATCTCACACCTTAGGAATTCTTGAACCCACTTATCATAATGGGGCATGGTCTCATCGACAACAGCAAAATCGATACCTGAGTTAAGGAAGCGAGTGTAAGGAGGTGAAGTTGCTAATATAGTACCATCTCCAGCCTTGACAGCGCGCTTCAGTGTATCCTGATTCAACAAAGAGTAGCAATATTGAGATATTCTAGAGGAGATAAAAGAATTCAATTTACAAGAACTTAGTGCAAATAACTCACCAATGGTGGTACAATGCAGTCTCCATAAATGATTATCTTCATTCCATAAAATGCACCATGTCCAGTTCTCTCCCTCAGAAGCCGCCACTTCCTTGGAGCTTCTAAGTCGATTGCTAAATCTTCTGTTAAGCCCTTTTTGTGCCATTCATATTTTTCTTCATCCAAGAGTCTTCCAGCTTCATTGCTAGCTGTTAAATAATCAGACTTTAGGATCCACCTGCAAAAATCAATAGACCGATCAGTTTACCTGTACAATTGGCACTACTGTAAACCATTATTGAAGCATTACCTTCCAGAGGCTGCAGCAGCAAACAATTTTTCAGTTCTGCGAACTAGATCAGGAACAATGAAATGAGTTGCTTGATATGACCATTGATGAGAATCTCTGCACACATGTCCTTTCAAACGTTTGATGACCTTCTCAAATTCCTTTCTTAGCAGTCGATGCCCACTAAGGATAAACCACCTTTGCTCAGTTCCTACTTTAGTAACCTGCAATGAGCGAGGATTTGCAACATCAGCCTTTAGAGGTTTTTTGTTATCACATTTTGGAGAACTTTTGCCAGCTCCATGTTCATTATATCTCGTGCTTTGGTCATCAATAAGAGGACTATTCTCCTTCTCCACATCCATGGAGTTCAACTCATGATCAAGTGCCAGTACTGTTTGTTCACCTGGTACAGGTAAACCTTTTTCATTCTCTGTTTCCTCATTCTTCTTTTTGTCATTTTCGGACTTCTTCTTTTTGGCAACTTTTCGGGAAATTACAGCTCTTTTAGCAGCTATATTAGTTGTGTTTGACCTCTTCATTAAATATTTTGGGCCTTTGGTTATTTTCACATCTACATCATTCTCTGCAGAAGTTGATTTATTTGACCTGGTGTCCTTGCCAGAAATAGTCTTTTGAGCTTCAGAGTTCTTGTTGTCAGCATCATGCCTCACAGCACAATCTTCCACATCAGTCCCATCCACGTTCACCACAAGTTCCTCTGCAGATGTAACCAGAAACTGCGGTACTCCACTGACTTCACCTGTTAAGACATTCAACTCATCATACTCTTTGCTCTCTGAAGTTTCAGCATCATTATTTATGGATTCAGCTATTTCAACATCTTCCTTTCCAGAATCCAAGTACTTTCTTTTCTCTGTTTCTTTGCTTAATTCTGCACTACCTGCTGGTGGAATCTCAACCTTTGCAAAGCTGAGAACCTCTTGGTGATCTCTGTCCTTTCTGCCCCAGCTCACAGAAGGGGCAGAGTCATTTGATGGAACAGTCTTGTTATGAAATGTAGTACCTTCCTGATTTCTTGCATCCCTTTCACAGAGACTTAGTCCAGATCCCAGTGTCTTCTTGGGAAGGGTTTTTATCTTTAATGGCTTAGACCCTGACCTAGTATTTCCTACGGCATTTTCCAATTCGGCCATCCGAATAAACTTCTCAACATCTTCTCTTTCATTGCCAGGAGATGGATTTTTGACAGCTTGCAGTTCATTCCTCGGGCTGTTATGTTCACCAGTAGAATGCTCAGTATCACATGAGTGAACATTAACAGGGTCCAAATTGCTGCTCAAAGCAGTCTTTCTTAACCCCATGACTGCACAAGTGCCAGCTTGCAATGCCTCCTCATCACACTCTTGCTGATTTTCTTGTATTATGGAAGTGAAAATAGAAGAATCACATTTCTGCAAGGGATGAAGACTTGCACCCTTGCCAAACTGGATATTGTTGCGCAATGACAAATGTCTGTCCAACTCTTCACCACGATCTTCCACCAGGTCACTATCTACCATGCTTTCTGGATTATGACTAGTTGTTGGAGAGCTTTTATGTAACTCAACCTTCCATTTCTCAGGTAGTACACCACTTTGGCCCTTTTCAAGGCATGACATTTTACTTGTAGGAATTTTTGCAGAACTAACTACAGTTCCGTCCTGCTCTTTCTCTGAGGAAATGTTCAATTTATCACAATGTTGGCTCACTATATTAGGGGGAGGACATCCTGCACTCTCAATTTGTTTCAAGGCCATGGTGAGACCAATTTTTCTAGGTTTTTTCAGGGAATAACTTTCAACACCCAGGCCACCATCTAACATGCTTTCTGGATTATGACTAGTTTCCAGAGAGCCGTTATATAACATGTCCACCCTCCTTTTCTCATGGAGTACACCACTTTGGCCCATTTCCAGGCATGACATATTACTTGTAGGAAAGTTTGCAGAACCAACTTCTGCTTCATTCTGCTCTTTCTCTGAGGAGATGTTCAAGTTATCACAATGTTGACTCACCGCATTAGCGGGAGGACATCCTGCACTCTCAACTTGTTCTGTGGCAATGATGAGATTAATTTTTCTAGGTTTTTCTCGGGAATAACTTTTAACACAACTGTTCGACAAACAAGATTTAGGAGACTTCCTAGCATTATTAGAAACTGAAGTCGGACTATTTCCATTTTGTGGCACATCTTCATTTCTACTCACAGTGGTGCCAAGGGTCTCAAGATGTCGCTTGTCAGATCCCTCAAAGGTTGTAACCAGGTCCGGTTTCGATTCCTTTGAAGCAGATAATCCCAGATGCTTATTGTTTCCAAGTTCTGACAGACCTGTCTGTATGTGTATCTCTGAGATGTTTCTAGAGATTTCCTCCTTCAAGAGGAATTGATTGGGACTCTTTGAGTGTTGAGGACTAGTGAAAGAAACTCTCTCTCTGCCAATTGCAGCAATATCGTCTTGTTCATCTTCAGAATCCTTGGCTTCGGTTTCCATCATCTCCAACTCATACCCACTGGAGTCCAAAAAGAAAAAAGCACAGGCATGAGCACACAAGTATTCTTATTAATTTAATTGGGTAGTCAAAATTGAGGCTCACAAACATAAGGATATGATGTCTAGCATGACCTCTGTAGTTGGAATATCAATAGGTTGTACCCAATTCCATTTTCATTTGACAGCTCTTTCCAACAATATAACTTCATTATTAGGAGCAGAGTGTTCATTTTTATGTTTGTTGATTCATTGTTTCCTTGGCACGGAAAGTACCACAACTAAGAAATCAAACAAGTGAATCAAGAAAGCATTAGCATTCCAGACCTATACCATTCTAAGACAATTTGAAAACTTAAGTCTGAGAAAGCACCTCGAAATTCTTACATGAGCTCCCTCTCGATTGAGCTTAAGCAAACACAATGAATCATGTGCTTTATAGTTTATACTATTGATTACACAAGACAAATTGATGAATGGTGTCTTGTGATTTGTGAATTGATCTAATAATCTTAAAAGATTAATCACAAATAGCAACACTGACATTCTAGAAAAGGATTTCATAATGCCACAATGTAAAACTTCATATATTCAAGTTCTTCAAAATAAAGGGTAAGGTTGGGGACTCCCACAGTGCAACGACCACCAAGGGGACACTGACATACTATAAACTAAAATATCACTGCCAAAACAAAAGAAGATGCCCTCTGATATAGAAAACAAACCAATTCACATTCCTGATGGAAAATGTCTCACCTTTTATCATAGCTAGCCTCCGGAAGAATTTCCCAGGCCCTTAAACTGCAGAATAAAACAAATTTAAAAGGAAGCACCTTGAGTAAACCAGACAGTAAAGAAGTTTCTATTGAGGAAAAGTGACCAAAAAGGTGTTGGCATGTGTAAGTTCTACAGAATGTTCTAGCTTACCAATCTTCTAGCCACAGGTGATTCACTAGTTTTATCTTCTTCATTTTCTTGGCAAGCTCGTATTTCTCTCCTATCAAACAACAGAGGCTCATATGGAATTGTAAAAAAGTAGTGAATAGAACAACAACTGATACAGTAAAAAGAGAAATCATATTGAATTTGAAGCATCTTTTTTCCATCACCTGATTTGGTGGGAAAAGCGAATTAAAAGTCATAACCAGTCTATTAAGAGTAAATTACCATAACTTAAGGTAATTCACTGTTCTGTATTAGCAAATGCTTACCTTAAGCCTCGACACCTGAAATTTCCCATAGTAATCCTTACATATAAAAGAGAGAACGGAGAATGAAACTTATCTTGGACTTTCTGCTTATTATGCTGATTTCAAATAAATGTGATTACATTAGATTAGATACTACACTAACTGGATCTTTTACTTTGTTGTGAACTAACCACGTACAACACATACACACATCAGCAATCCAGGAAACATAATTTAGTTGTGTATTCAAGTTTTAAAATGAGGTTAAAGGAGTTGCTTCTTAATGAAAGGGCTCCGCCAACATGAAACACCCTTAACTCCTGCAAGAATAAACTGCACTGAAAAAAGAAGATAAGAAACAATGGGAGAAGGTATTACATGCTGCAACATGAGAAATAAGTTTACCCTCAAATTTGTAGCAAATAAGATGAGTGACTTTGTTTGCAACCAATGGCTTTGAAAAGTTTGCACCCATCAGCCCAACCATTATCTGGAAGAAGAAGAAGGAATCAATTAGCAAGGTGGCATAAGATGAAATTGAGAAGCAACTATTTAAGTACTGTAAGAAAAAAGAGAGTTGGAATCTACAAACCATAATATCATCTCGGTCTTGCCGCTGATATCCAGTTAAGCACAGTATTAGTGATTTAGCACCTGGGATTCCAGTCAAATCCCTTGGAGGTCTGTACATAATCTGTAACAGAAAATAGTGAATATTCTGAGTATGGGGAAGGAGCTAAACTATCAAATATTTGAAGTATCACAAGTTAAGGGAATCTGCAGCATCATGGAACAATAACTTCAATCTTCCAGCAGAGAAATTTGAGCTCATACAAACCAATTAAGACATTCATGTGGAACTTTAAGGAGCAATACAAAGGCCAATGCATTTATGTAGTTAGTTATTACTTATTCTGCATAAATTTTGTTAGATCTTCCAAGCACAATGTTGGTACTTGAACGTACTTCACAACTGAACAGAAATAAAGCCCGGTGGAAAAGCAAAATCATGTGAAACGATAAGCATTTATATAGAGCTGGACTCACGGGCATAACTTAAACATCAACTTGTGCACCACAGTAGCATTTGAAAGAAGGGAACAAACAACTCTCACATATTAAGAGCATATCAAGTCGAGTTTTATCACAAAAATGCTAACTCATCGTTATCCTATAACATTCAACTATAAGCGTACGACCAGGCATTTAACTTAGTATGAACTCAATGAAAGCATTTTCCAATTCAGAAATATATCATAGATATAAGGACATCAAAATCAAACTTTCAGAATGAACTTACAGAGAGGTGATCGACAGGCATTCCCACATCAAAACTGTGTTCAACCCACAAGCCAGAGACTAAAATTTTTCCATCTTGTCGGGCAGCAACACACAGAGGATCATCCTAAATATTTAAAAAATCATTACCCAATTCCATTAATAATTATAATATAAATTAGTAAATAAATAAATAAAAACAATTGGGGTTTGCTGATCAATTTAGAGAGTTATATAAACACATAGAATCCCATGTAGTTGGTTAATTGATAAAATTGGAAAGAGAAAGAAACCTGCGAGTTGATTTCTCAGATGGAAACTCTCCACTGATAGTTATTATCACATAAATTCACTTTATTTGTTGAAGAAAATTGAAATCAAATAAGAAAGACGACTTTTTGAGATAATAACAATTTTGAGAAATCAAACCCAAGAACTGCCAAAAATGGGAAAAAATGAGAATACAATTTTGCTGCAAAAGTTGCTCTTACATAAACTGTTCTATCAACAATGAGGTGAGTGCAATCCGGGCCATATTCGTTCACGTCAACTCCACCAGCCTCCAAAAGCTTGGACCGGACCTTCAAATGGGGAAAATGACAATTATGAAAAAATAGAGAAAACAAATGATATATAACAATTACAGCGGCAATTCTAAGTATTTGAATTCAAATTATGGAGCTCTAAAGGGTAACCTGTTCTTTCTTCGGGGAATCGAACCCAGCAAGAACAAAACGGACACCGATGAAGATTTTAGAAGGATCGTATAACATATCTTGCTCGCTTTCTGCCATTGAAATTCCTATATGTTTTTGCTGAATCTAACAGTAGTTTTCAAGAAAAAAAAAGTGAATAATTGAATCAAATTGTGAAAGAGGGATTGAATTGAACAGTAGAGTGAAACGTCTAAAAATTCAAAAGAACTTAAATTATAAAAAGGAGGGATTTTTTGGTCCACTGGCGGGAGATAAAATTTGGCTCATACAGTTCACATGTATGCATTACGAATCACTATTGGGCTTGGGCCAGTTTGCACTTTGGTGTAAATGACATATATATATACAACTGTTATGGAAAATTAGCAACAAATAGCCCATAATTTAATACTTTAATAGACCCAAAAAAAAGAAGCACAAATTAGCCCATATTAACAGACAGCTACTAATAGGGTTTTCTTTCTTCTTCTTTTTTTTCTTGTGAAACTAACCGCCACACAACATTAAAAACGGAACGTGGGAAACCACCATATTCAATATACATAAACTCCATGAATTCATAAAAATTCATGTATCCAATATAAAAAATCAACGAGGTTCTACTACAAATATCAACAAATAAATGGCATCTTTGATAGTGTTGATTCATCATAGTGGAGAATGGAATAGCGCAAATAATTTTGTAAATTATTCCATGGAGGGGGTGGTTATTACAACAAACATTGATTTCAACGGATTCACTCGCTTGATTTCAAGCCATCTAAATGTCGATACTTCCCTGAATTCGTTTGATTTTCATTATAAAATTGATGAAAATTCTATGCCGATGTTGATACGAAACACTATGGGATTACGCGTATACATCGAATTGAAGAAAGGTTCAGGAAATTTCAAAGACTATCCATTGTGCATAACTTGGAAAGCTAAAGATATTCATCATACACTTTCAATTAATGGAGAAGAATATGGGGAGGCCAATACCCAAATAATAGCTCATGGTAACGCCAACACAGACAATTTGAATGTAATTGAATATAACGACATGGATGCTCGGGAGATTGCATATTTTATCTATTATCAAATGATTTGGTTTTTATTACGTGAATGAACAGTCATGTATACAATGCGTTAATGTATACATATTCGTGTATTCATTCACTAAAAATGTAAACACTGAATCGAATAATCTTTTATCACATGAATGAGTTTTTATCACGTGAATGAACAATCATGTATACAATGCATTCATGTATATATATCTGTGTATTCATTCACTACAACTTTGTATACATTCTAGATTCTTCCTTCAGTGTGTAAAGGAGGATTGCACTTGGAAATTAAAATGCTCAGCATTACATAAGTAAAAATTATTCAAAGTTAGACGATTCATTGCTGAACACACTTATCCTGCAAAGGATAGACTAATGTCGCAACAAGTTGCTACCTCAACTATACTTGAAAGAGAAATACAGTACAAATATCATGATCCAAAAGTTGTATACAATGCGAGAGACATAATTACTGATATGCATAAATAATTTGGACTTGATTTGACATACTGGAAAGCACATAGAGCAAAGTTAAAAGAATTGAAAATGGTTAGAGGTGATCCCAAAGAGGAGAAAAAAAAGGAACAAAGACCCACTTCCCAATAAAACTGCCACATGTTGCCACCAAACCTAAAAATAATTAATTTAAATATAAATAACTTCCCATGGAATAACGTGGGCTAAATTATGCCAATTTTAATTTTAAAAAACCTTTTTTTCATATAAAAATTAAAAGGGGCTAAATGTTGCCAATTAATAAAAAGAGATTACATGCTGTGCCATTTTTTCCTTAAATTTTTATCTTTGTTTTAATAAATAAAACTTAAAAAATGATCGTAAGAGAAGAATTTATATCGTCCATCAGTCATAAGCTCTAATTTTAGCTTATAAAAAATTATTTGTAGTCAATTTATTAGTAGGTTTAGTGTTTTGAAATATTCGAGAATTGTTGTTTAATAAACAAAAGGTAGATCTTGTATTTGATGGGAAACAAAAGTTTTGCATATGTTGTCCATCAATAGTAAGTACTGTTGACACCCAATTTTGACCCTTCCCGATAATAATTAATTTCTAAGCTTCTTAATTTTCAAACGATTTAGAATAATTAGCCTTATAAAAATTCAAAATATTTTTCAAGGTTATTTTAAGTATTTCATTCGATTTTTATAGTTTTTAAGCGATAAATATGTTTCATATAATTACGTATATAATTAGTATATTTTATGAATATCAGAAAATCACCTCAAAAGATTTTACATTTTTTAAATTGAATAATTTAGTTTGGTTTAAATTATGGTTAATTTTAAAAATTAATTAGTTTATAGTTGAATTGATTATTTTATTTTGTTTAGAATGAGAAGCTCCTAAATTAATTATATTAATTCTTCTTATTTAGATTTTAACCGAATTTGCAAATAAAATTCAATTTGGTTAAGTGTGTAATCTCAATTGGCCAATTACTATTAAATTTGGCTTAATTAGTAATATCAAAGACCAACTTTGGGACAATTCCTTTTCACCAACCCACTTCTCAAACAAAACAAACCCAACACCTTAATTTCAATGCAATCAGCATCCCACAAAATAACCCACTACAACACCATACCAACGACCCCACCTTGTTCTTCTTCTTTTTCACACGAAACCCAGTGAAATCAAAAGGCCAGAATCGCGAGCAGCAACCCAGAAACTCGTCCAAAGCAGCCACGCAGTGAGCCCATCGAATCGAGTCTCGCGCGTCTCTCTTCCGCAACGTGTTCCTCTTTGTACGAAGAATCTTCCAGGTGTTACAATCTCGTAGCTCATTTTTCCTTCCTCTCTAAATCAAGCGGCCCTTATCGTTTTTCCGTTGGGAATGGTACGAGAATCCATTGGCAGCCTGATCCTTTTCGAGAAATTCGAATTTCGAATTCAAATTCATCCAATTTCAACCCGATTTCCCTCCCTTTTCGGCCCTAATTTTCATCTATAAATAGCTCCTTCTTCTTCGTTATTTAAGTTGGTCTGGGGCTGGTAGACGAATAGAAAGAAATAAGGAGAAAAGTTGGGAAGAAAAGATAGGTTAGAGGTGAACGAACTTACAGAGACATAATATTCTCAAAGTGAAAAATCATAAAAGAATACATCTACGATACATTTCTGAGGTGCTGAAATTCGGAAGAACTCTGTAACGACTCGGAAAATGATAGAATGAACTTAAGCCTTGACGTTTGGGTTAGTGGGGGCTTAGGTTGATGTTTATGCTGTTTTAGAACTTAAATGGAGCTAGGTAGCATCCTAGGGTGCAAGCAAGGACCTAGGCTAGCGAGCTAGCCTAGTGGACTGCCCCAGTTTGACCCAGCCTTTGAGTAATCCCACTGGAACAGACGGGCAAGGGGCAGATTTTTAAAGTTACGACTTTTAGGGTCAACTTTAAATGATGATATCTTTTAGCTCAAAACGAATTAGGTGTACCATTACCTATCCAATTAAAGGTATCTGAGTCCTCTTTCCAACGCCACCGAGTTTGCCCTTTTCCGATCTCGGAGTAAAAAGTTATGCCTAAAATAGTGAAGCACTGTCTAAGAGGACGAACTTAGACGGATTTAGTGAAAACTTTTAAGTTTAACTTTGTGAGTCCTTAATTCTTTTCCTAAGTTGAGTCCCTTTTATTCTTTACATTTCCTAGCAATTATAAAACCCTTTTAGACCAAAATTCTTCCATTTAAGTCACTCCAATTAGAATTAAAAAGAAACCCAACTCCTCTCAAATATTTCGCTCTCTACAATCCTCCATTTAAGAAGGTCAATAACTTGAAGCTAGGGATAAGTTGGCTTAATCTCATATTATGGATAAAATTGTTCTTGCTTGGTTTGATCCACTTATGGTGGAGGTGTTTAATTATGGAATGTATTGTGACCATGGCCTTAAAGGCCAGACATGAGGAGCTAATGTTGACTTAGAATTGTTTACTTGTTTGTTACATTGTGACCATGGCCTTGAAGGCATAGTATGAGAAATTGAAGTGTTATCATGACATTGTATGAATGAGAGTTCAATGAAGATAATGTGATCATGTTATGAATGTAAATGTGTTACTATTGAAAGATTATTTCTCAATTTGACACTCATGAATGTTGATGATAGAATATGAAGGATTCTTCAATGTAAAATGAACCTTGGATCGGTAGGCTAATGGCATCCTTCCATTAATGATAAGTAATGAACCTTGGATTCGGTAGGCCTATGGCACCTTTCCATAAAGGTTAATGATGAGACTTGAATCGGTAGGCCCATGGCACCCTTTCAAGAGGAGTTAATGAGCTTTCCTAAATGTACCTTGAATCGGTAGGCTTATGGCACCCTTTCATGTGTTAAATAATGTACCTTGAATCGGTAGGCTTATGGCACCCTTTCATGTGTTAAATAATGTACCTTGAATCGGTAGGCTTATGGCACCCTTTCATGTGTTAAATAATGTACCTTGAATCGGTAGGCTTATGGCACCCTTTCATGTGTTAAATAATGTACCTTGAATCGGTAGGCTTATGGCACCCTTTCATGTGTTAAATAATGTACCTTGAATCGGTAGGCTTATGGCACCCTTTCATGTGTTAAATAATGTACCTTGAATCGGTAGGCTTATGGCACCCTTTCATGTGTTAAATAATGTACCTTGAATCGGTAGGCTTATGGCACCCTTTCATGTGTTAAATAATGTACCTTGAATCGGTAGGCTTATGGCACCCTTTCATGTGTTAAATAATGTACCTTGAATCGGTAGGCTTATGGCACCCTTTCATGTGTGATGATGTCAAAGTAATGAACTATTCTATGGGAATGTAGGCTAAGCACCGAGCGGATTTGGTTAGATGGAAACTCCCCCGACAGTTAGGCATGAGTTTCAATGATCGTCTACCTTATCCCATAAACTATGTGCCCGCATAGGAAGCTAGTGGATCCATTAAGCTATATATACCGGTCTTCCTTAGGCAAGTAGACCACCTCTTTACGGTGTGGGGACTTATGACACCGGATTCCATGACAAGCTCTCATGGTCTATGTCGGTTAAATGCTTACTTCCCATCATGTGAGATTTCATTATGGTTTCTTGATAGGTTCTACAAAGTGTAGG